ATTGCGCTTCAAGTAGTGCAGTTTGCCAGCATCGATACCAGCTTCATCAAGAACATAGCACTCCGTCTGACTGGTGCTGCTGGTGTGTCCGGCCTCGACTCGACTGCCTGGCAACGAATGTGCTGCTCGTTCGGCGGTGCCTCTTCCGATCTGTGTGCAGCCGTTGCCGCAACCACCCGCCGTCTTGCCACGGAGTATGTAGATCCAGATGGTATTTCAGGTCTTGTAGCTGGCCGATTAATACCCTTGGATAAGAACCCTGGGGTGGGGCCCATTGGCATCGGTGAAGTTCTTAGACGCTTTATCGCCAAGGCCATTCTTGCCGTCATCAAGCAAGACATCCGGGAAAGTGCTGGTGCTCTCCAAGTGTGTGCTGGCCAGGAGGCAGGTGCAGAAGCCGCAATCCATGCCATGGCGGACCTCTACGGCAATGATGACTGTCAAGGAATTCTCCTCGTCGATTCGTCTAACGCACTTTTGCACTCAACCGGCAAGTGATGCTCCACAACATCCGCATCATATGCCCTGCTGCCTCAGTCGCAGTTACCAACTGCTACCGCAGAGCAGCTAAGTTGTTTGTGCATGGTGAGGTGGTCTTGTCTCTGGAGGGCACTACACAGGGGGATCCTCTGGCCATGCCAATCTATGCCGTCGCCCTCGTTCCGCTGTTGGCTGCTCTGGATGCCTCTACCAGTTGTGTTCACCAGATATGTTATGCTGACGATTCTGCAGCAGGTGGTAAACTGCGTGCTGTGCGCCACTGGTGGGACTTACTCACAGATCTTGGCCCCCACTTTGGGTATCACCCGAATGCTGCCAAGACATGGCTAGTGGTGAAGCCATCCAGCTTGCCAGAGGCCCAGGAGATCTTTTCCGGCACAGGCATCAAGATCACTGCAGAGGGTCGGCCATACCTCAGCGCTGCCATCGCACAGAGGAGTTCCAGCGACGGCATTTCTCAGTTAGACTGGAGGAATGGTGCAGCCAGCTTACAGTGCTCACAGAGTTTGCAAAGACTGATCCCCAGTCTGCCCTCGCCGCGTTTGCACACGGTCTGCGTCATAGGTGGACGTATGCTATGCGAACAACACCTGATGACATTTCTGACTTTGAAGCTCTGGAGTCTGTCATCGCCCAGGAGTTCATCCCAGCTGTTACAGGCGTTGCTCCTCCATCTCCCCCACTGCGCCAGCTGCTGTCGCTGCCCCCTCGCCTTGGAGGTCTTGGTTTGCTGTCCCCCCTGTCTATCGCTCCACTCCAGCACGCCACATCAGTAGCAGTCACCAGTGAGCTCCAGGCCAACATCATGCGCCATCCCTACTGCTGGCCACTGACGAGGACACCGTGCGCAATGCTAAGCTCCAGGGCCGTGCCAAACTCCGTACCCTGTGGTCCGACACTACTGCCACCATCAGTGCACACCTCAGCGACCATGAGCAGCGCTCCTTGGAGGCTAGTTGCGACCGCGGTGCCAGCTCGTGGCTGTCGTGCCTGCCCATCGCTGCACACGGCTTCAGCCTCGACAGGAGGTCATTCCAGGATGCTCTTGCTGCACGCTACGGGTGGCCTGTTCTTGATATCCCTGACACCTGCTTATGTGGTGTGCCTTTCACCACTGACCATGCCATGATATGCAGACGTGGCGGCTTCCCCATCGTCCGCCACAACCATGTCCGGGACTACATTGCCGGCCTTCTTGGCAGAGTGTGCAATGTCGTGGAGACGGAGCCTGTTCTTCAACCCCTTGCTGGTGAAGCTCTTCCAAGGGCCGCCAACACTGACCCTCAGGCCAGACTGGACGTCAAGGGGAGGGGCCTCTGGTCCAAGCAAGAGGATGCATTTTTTGACATAAGGGTTTTCTATCCCTGCGCGTCCTCTTACATGACTAAGTCCCTCTCTGCGACCTACAGATGGCATGAGGAGCAGAAGAAAGCGGCTTATGGTGAGCGGATCCGGCGGGTGGAGAGGGGCAGCTTCTCTCCATTGGTGTTCTCCTCTGTCGGGGGAGCTGGCGGTTCGGCCCGGAATGTGTTGAAACGTCTCGCCATTCGCCTGGCAGCGGCAACCGGAGACTCGTACAGCGTCCTCATGGGACGGATCCGCTGTGAGCTTGGCTTCACTCTAGTCCGTGACTCCGTCATGTTGCGTGGTAGTCGGAGAAAGGTGAATTTCAGCCATCACCCCAGCGATGTCCTGCAGCATGAGTCGCTCATGCCAGTTTGACTCGGTTCAATTTGTTTTTTTGTGTCTGTGCATGATGATGTCACAGGTTTGTTTGCCAGTTTTGGTTCTGTTGCCGTTTATCCTCCGTCTTTGCTTTTTGTTTTGCTGTTTCCTTTCTCTTCTTCCTCTTTGGTCACGTTGATGCCATTTTGTTGTGAGTCCGCATGCTTTGACTCGAACTCGCAAGGTTGATTATTATCTCTTGCACCTTTTACTGGTTTAGGACTTGTGCCCAGTCCTGAAGTTATTGCTCATTGTTTGTGTTTTATTTATTTTT